CCTACGGCCATTTATTGACTCTTGTGGCCCAGCAGTCAGAAGCCTGTCTTTGTTCTTGAAAAAGAAACATGATCTTTGAAGGAATTATGTAGGCAGGAAGGAAGAGAAAAGCCTAACAATGTCAAGATTTATTTTAAATAATCTGAATAGAATTAATGAACAAAGAAATTGGGGAAGTTAATTGTGCATCATAACTTGCCTGGCTTCCTTTCATTTCTTTACGGAGGAGCGAACAGTGCAGAGGCTGTGTAGTAACCAACGTGTGTCTGTCTAGGTGGTCATTTCTCTTGGCTTAGCCCGATTATTCCCATTATAGTGGGCCCAGCAAGGTGCTCTAGCTGGAAAAGCTTCTAAATGTCACTTTCCGTGATGGCAACAACTCTTGTATAAGCCACATTTATTTCCATTATGGTCCCTCTTATTCTCAGATTCCAAAGCAGTGCCCTTCATCCTGTGCAACAATAGAGCATTGATTTCTCAAGGCTGATAAATTGATATGAACTCTCACATAGAAATAGCCGCCTTGCTGCTAGGCATCTTGTCTGGGAAACGGGAAGTTGAGTGACATGGAATCTATTCCCTTCCATGGAGAGGAGCCAGTGTAAGAAGCTTGGTAGTCACATAAACTGGGGTTCAAGTTCCAGCTTCATTTATTTGTGGTGTGTCTTCAAAGCTATTGTGCATACAGGGATGCTTCACATGTGTTAAAAACTCAAAAAATGTTATGTTATTAATATTTTTACCTTGTAAAGTACTAATAATGTTATTAACAACAGTATTAATAGTGATGATGATTATTGTGGATATAAATAATTGTCATGCATGTAAAACACTCATCATCACATAATTCATACTCAGAAATGGTAGTTACTGCTTTTCTTCTCAGATTAGTTAATGCCCACTTATGAATTCTACAGATGCTACAGATTTACTTCTATCTATGGCAGAAACAGGCCCCATATGACTCAAAGCCAAGTTTTTGCGGGGACAGATTTCTCTGTCTCTTACACGGTAAGCCATCATCCAGAAGCAAAATAGAAATGAAAAAAAAAAAAAAAAAGGACATGTCAGGTTAGACTTGGTTACAGCAAGACTAGGAACAAGTCAGAAGAGACAGATGTGTTTAATGGCCAATGCACTTCTCCAAAGGAATCATTTTCACTGGCCAGAAGCCCAATTAAACCTGTAAAATGGAAATGCAGAAAATCAGATTAACGAGCCGGTCATTAGTGAGGAAAAGACCCAGCTAATTCTGTGTTTAGCATGACGGATGGGCCCAGAGCAAATAATTGGATGACATTCATCAAATGTAAAATAAAAGGCGTTGTTGAAAGGGAGAGTGGTAATAATCTCTGGGATTTACAGTGCCAGAAAATTTGCTTGTAAGGAAGAGAAAAGTTCATCAAAATAGATGAATAGTCACTAAACTTTATTCCTTCCTTGTGCGGTTGCCAGGGAGCCACAGAAAGAGCAGAGGCAGCATGTGCACTAGCCTGGTCTCTCCCCAACCTTGTGAAGGTTCTGCTCACATGGGGGCACTAAGGCTTCAGTTTGGAGATAAGTTCCCGTGCTGTCTGCAGACTGGGTGGGCAGGAGTGGAGAGTTCTCTCTGTCCATGGTTTGGTTACTAAACACTGGAGGAAATCAAACTCAAAAGTCTCTCTAGTTAAGCGGATTAGTCACAATTCATTATTCAGTTAGGAAGTATTGACCCCTGCCTTGTGCCTGATATTTTGGGGATATGTTCATTCCCAGTTAAGGGTCTAGGTTAGGCTAGGGTCATATTCTGAACATGACAATGAAAGACTGTGCAATGTCAGGCAAGTTAGTTGACTTCTCTCTGCCTCAATTTCCTGACCTGTAAAGTAGAAGTATGATCTGTATCTATATATATTTCACATATATGTGTGTCCATAATGCTTAATATATATGCATGTGAGGTATGGTTCATAAACTGCTTATCATAGAATCTTTTATGTATTAAGATTTTACTCCATGGTAGTTCTTATTACTCTTTTATTTTCTCACTTTTTCTAAGAAGACATTATTTTGAATATGCAACATAAACACATGATTGATTTCCTGGGAAAATGAAGAAATACAAATGTATACACACATGCCAGTTACAGATTTTTTTTAAAATTTAAGATGTTGGAATCAAGGAAATATATTGCCGCTACAGTGGGGTGAATAAGATGAATGGAGAACTCATTTTAGTCACAGGAAGAGGAATACAGGGTTAGAGCCGAACTCGATGGGGTTCAAATTTGTCTTATCTTGGGCAAGTCACTCAGTATCTTAGAGCCTCTGGAAGGTTGAAATGAGGTTTAAACGAGATAGTTTATACAAGGGCTACATGCACTTCTGGAGCATGGAAGATGCACTCAATTGATGACAGTGAGACCAGCTCGGCCTGGGAATTGGGAGGTTATGACCTCACAGTAAGACGTTGGGGGATAATCATAGGGATGTGTGTACTGTCAGAGCAAACGCTGAAATGTGGTAGAATTGGAAACAACCAAGATCAGGAGTTGAGAGAAGGGAGACATGATAATGAGTCGCTGGCATCCCGATGAACTCACGGGTCTTACACTGAGCTTTAGAGCATCGGTTGGAGTTTGACGGTGTGGAGAGGGGCCTGGCCGGGGCAAGGGCAGAGCTACAGGAGCCAGCCTGGTATTGCTGTGCGATACTCTGATGTCAGAGGCACTGGGCGGGCCTCTGGGCTCCTTGGGCTTCATGAGGCCCCTTAATAGTTTGGATCATTTTGTGGTGTATCTACAGTGTAATTTCCATCTTTATGATTTACTCAGCCACCAGCTCTTCCAGGTTCTGTGTGTGTACAGGGCGAGTGTCTCTGATGCCAGCTTAATTCACCAAGGGTCGGGTCGGTGAGGTTCCGGAGATTCTACGGAGAACTGATTTTTAAGCATATAGTAAGTGACCAGAGGATGTGTCTTTGCATTTACAAGCTATCCCTGGGTACACGGCCTCCTTTGGGGGTGATGAAACCATTTTAGAACTACTGAAGAGGGAATGGTTGCACAAAATTGTCGGTGTGCCAGATGCCACTGAAGTATACACTTTAAAACTGTTCGTTTTATGTTATATGAAGTCCACCTCAATTAAAAAGAAGTTTGTCATCACTGTAAATGTAAAATTCAGAAAACTAACTGCATCTGGGAGGGAGGCAGGGGTCAGGATAGCTGAGGAACACAGTGGCACAGAGGTGTATGTCAATTGTCATTAAAGTTCTAGGTCTGTGCTGCTCCAGATGTGGTCCCCAGACCAACATCAGCATCATCTGGAAACGAATTAGAAGAGACAGTTCTTAGGCCCCACCCCAGACGGATTGAATCAGAGTCTGTGGGTGGAGCCTGGCAGTCTGAGCTTCGACAAGCTTTCTGGGTAATTCTGATGCACACTAAAGTTTAAAAACTGACCTAGGTTTGGGGTTGACAGATACATTTACATGTGTTGGTTTTATAGTTAAAAATAAGGCCAAATTACACAAACAAATAAGTAAATAAGGTAATACAAAGACTAATGGTGCTGTTTGGAACTGAGGGTTATGTTTTAATCTGAGTCTATGTAGTTGAGATTTATTTAAAAGAGAAAAATAGTGTCCAGTAACTCATTGCTCTTAATATGTCAACACCCCGCCTCTAAGCCAATGCAGAACAGTGTAGATTCAGAACAGATGTCTTACCAAGAAAAAAAAAAAAGTCCTGGAACACAAGACAAAAGTGGTTCTAATTAGAAAATAGAGATGTAAGGGTAACGGTGAGTGTCAGGGGAAAAACCAGTCTCTCCTCTCGGTTCACAGCCGATGTCTTTGCACCAAGTTTTTGCAGGGTTCTGCCTTCACGCTGACTCTAACATCTGCTCTACCTGGCAGCTTTTGGTGCCTGATCTGTGGGCTTCCAGTCTGTGCGGAGCCAGGGGGAGAGCCATGGGAGGCGCTATCTCTCAGAGTGAGGAGCCATGGGTGCATTTCAATAGAGATGTTAGACCCCTCCTGCTCTCAGTGGCTGCTGTGGATGGGCGCCAGGTTTGGACCCCAGTAGGAGGCCTGGCTTTTCTCCAGCAAGTGCTTGGGCCTAATGAGAACAGAGCATGTGCCTGCAGCAATTGCCTCCTCAGCACAGCAGCCTGGTTGCTATTGTCATCTGATGATTTTCTCTGAACAGGCTATGCTATTGTCTGTTGTGAATATTAATTTCCCCTGGGTTAGGATGATTGGCCACAGAGCAGCCATCTGTGGAGCTGTGCCACGCCGGCAGGACTTTCCACCGAGCCCGGGCCGGAGGACGGTTTCCTGGAGTGGTTTCCAGGTGACTGTAAGAGTCCCCACTCTCCCGAGTGAGGTTACAGAGCCCAGCCCCCCAGCCATAACAGTAGGACCAGAACTCAAACCCAGATTTCTGACTTTTAAGTCCAGAGTTCTTTCTCTGACTTTTGATACCTTTAAGTAAGTCTCTATATATCTACTTAATGCATTAATTTTTAAATATAAAGGAAAAATGTGCTCGGATCAGAAGTAAAGTTGATTTCAAAGTCATGAGAACTTTAAGCAATAGTAATTATCAGGCAAGAATTCCTTCTACCATCATGCCATGGTTGCAGTGGATTAAAAGTGGTTTTAAAAAAAGAATAAGCAGATCATGGGTGTAGCCCATATTGATAGCTTCTCTGTTTTCAGTTTAAAGTATTTATTAGGTGTGTACACATGCAGAACACAGTGACCAAATAGGGTCCCTGCTCTCACAGAAAGTGCCAGCCACAGGCAAAGACTGTGGTCATTGCCCACTTATTCTCTAAGTGCTGTAACATGGGAGCAGCTCGGGGTGCCATGGGATTGGAGGTTCAAAGGCAGCCAGGGATATTCTTCAACAGGTTGTCACAAGCCTTTGTGGCTGTGGATGGAAAGGCTCACACTTTCCACCTTGTGCCATGGCCCATTGCCTCATCTGACCTCTTTGTGTTTCCTCCTAACTCAGGTAACAACTGGTGGCAGAGCCAGCTACTACGTGTCCTATCGGAGAGAGGCCTTTGCTCAGATAAAGCTGCCCAAGTACTCGCTGCCAAAGGTATGTGCCGCCTGCTGTCCTGGGTCCTGCAGATGAAGCGGCAGGGAGAAGCTGCCCTGTTCGGCAGTGGGAGGTTTCATTCCTGCCTGGGAGACAGCTGGTATTCAGCCTGACTTACCACTGCAGGGTTTGGCCTCTGTTGATGTTGCTGAACCTGGGTCCTGTGTTCTCCTCTCAGCAGGGTACACAGGCAGGAGTTCTAATTTGCTATGACTCAAACATCCTGCACAACCTTGGGTCGTGCCCCAGGAGTGGTAGTGAAAGGATTTCACTACCTTTGGAATCTCATCTGAGGACCCCTTTCTTTGGTAAGGGCTTTACTGCCCAGTAGAGGGATGGCCTCAGAATGGCCCAGGCAGGAGCACAGATGCTATAAGTGTGTGTGTGCATAAAGGTCCACAGGAGAGTCTTCTGCTTTTCTTGCTTCTCCCTACATTTTAATGCTAAATATAAATGCACTGCCTATGTTCCACTCCCTTCTGTCACTATGAGTAATGAGAAAGGAGTAATTTAATAACATTTTAATATCAAATGATTGCATGTTAACTCTGCTACTGAAAAATTATAAAACTTTAGCCAAGCAGAAGCTTCTTATTTTGATGAAGTAAACATCAGCAAAATGAAAAGGGAACCAACTGTATGGGAAAATACATTTGCCATGATACTTTAAACAAGGGTTTGATCTCCAAAATATATTAAGAACTCACATGACTCCACTCCAGGAAGACAGACCATCCAATTAAAAAATGGGCAAAGGACCTGAACAGACACTTCTCCAAGGAGGACACACAGAGGGCCCAGAGACATATGAAATGATGCTCAGCATCACTAGCCATCAGAGAGATGCAAATTAAAACCACAGTGAGATACCGCTTCATATTGATCAGGATGGCCATGATAGACAAATCAACAAACAATAAGTACTGCGAGGTTGTGGAAAAAAGGGAACCCTAGTGCACTGTTGGTGGGAATGCAGACTGGTGCAGCCACTGTAGGAAACAGTATAAAATTTCCTCAGAAAAATGAAAATGGAACAGCCTTTTGACCCAGTGATTCCACTGCTAGAATTATACCCTAAGAATTCTGAAACACCAATTCAAAAGAACCTGTGTATCCCAATGTTCATAGCAGCACAATTTACAATAGCCAAGTGCTAGAAGCAGTCTAGGTTCCCATCAGTAGATGAGTGGATCAAAAAGCTGTGGTACATTTAAATAATGGAATACTACACTGCAGAAAGAAAGGAGGGGCTCCTACCCTTCATGACAGCATGGATGGAACTGGAGAGCATTATGCTAAGTGAAGGAAGCCAGGTAGTAAAAGACAAATACCATATGATCTGACCTATAAGTGGAACCTAATCAACAAAAGAAACAGGCAAGCAAAATATAACCAGAGACACTGAAATAAAGAACAAACTGACAGTAACCAGAGGGAAGGGAGGAGTGAGATGATGGGGGAAGAAAGGGAAGGGCTGTCAGGGAACATGTATAAAGGTCCCATGGATAAAGACAAAGGTGTGAAGGATTGAGGGTTGGAGGTAAGGGTAGGTGGGGCAGGGGAAAGTGGTGGTGGGAAAATGGAGACAACTGTATTGGTACAACAATTTGAAAAAAGAAAAAATGTAAAACTTAACTCTATGGACCCCATTTCCTGTGAACAACAGGTGTTTGGGAGAAGATGGATTTTAGAACTTCACTGTGAGCATAGACAGGACATCATCGCATCACCTAATAAGGCTGCAAAGAAGCAAAGTCTCAGGTTGACTACATATCAAAAGTAACGTTACAAAGAATTGGGTCTCTAAGCTGGTGCTAGGAAACATATTATGACAGGCTACCTGTGTATAGAGGTATGAGGAATTATGAGATAAGAGGGTAGTTAATTGTTTACTTTCTGCTTTTATGCATTCATTTATTTATATGTGCCTGTATCAATCCATTCATTCATGTGTTCCTTCTTTCATTCATCCATTGAACTATTCTTTCTGACATTTAAGTTTTTACTCTATGTCAGGCACTGAACTAAGTTCTGTGGGTACAGTAGTGAATGAGACATAGCAAACCGACTTTCATGGAGCTTATGTGCTGGTAGAGAAGAGAGATACTGAACAGCCAACTGCAGGTATGGAGGGAATTGTAAATACAGAAACTCAGGGGTTATCATGGCATAAGAGTTGGAAATACACAGATATGAGTGGGGAGGACAAGTTTCCTAAAGAAAGTGATGTTTAAGCTGACAAAAAAAAAGGAATCAACTGTGCAAACAAGTGTTGAAGAAGCCAATAGAAGATACATGCACAGGCCCTATTTTAAGGGAGAGTACGGTTCATTCAACAAACTAAAAACTGTGTTGAGTAACTGGGTTTCAGAGATAGGTGAAGAGGCTGAAGAGGTGGTTAGGAGCCATATTAAATAGCCTCAGAGGTCATGGGAATCAGTTTCTCCTCCACTGTCTCTGTGATTGTCTTTATAGGACTACCATATAGAATGGTGGTTGTAGGACGTACTCATCAGATTTTCTAAACCTGAGCAGGAGAGAGGTGTCCCTGCCTACAGAAGATGAGGAAAGGGATTTTCTTAGTCGTGCTCTTTCTAAAGGACAACGGCCCCTCACAGGAACCTGATGATTTCAATGCACTGACCTAGGAAAAGAGTTTCAGCAACTTTCCAAATCATCTTTCTAAACCACCCTTCCAATGTAGGGCCTAGTCTGTGTATGCGTACGTATTTTATGTATATTTTAACCTTCTCAGGAAAACAAACAGTTCTCTTCCCTGGACAAATGAAGTCTGGATTTGACCATTACCCTAGAACACTCCACTAACCATTAGCAAACCATGGTCATTTATTGCGGTGGAATACCAATCCACGTGGCCCCTTTTATAGAACTTTATCCAGAGCAGCTTCCCATTAATACAAGGGCTGCTGTGAAGATAGCTGGATGGTTATTGATTCCCCGTTATTAACTGACATTGTCTCAACTTTTCCTAGGAGGTGAAGACAGAGAGGGTGGAGGGAGATTGGTTCTTCCCATTTTTAAAAGTGGAAATGGCTTTTAAGCACACTGCTGCTGTTCACTTAGTTTCGTGGCTGCTGCCGGGCATCTCACTTAGGAACAGAAGCAGAGAAGCTCCCTGTCCTCACTGCCCTCACACCTCTTTTCCCAGCCCGTCTGTTCAGAATTTGGTTGCCTGGGGCAGCAGTGGCTTTGGTGTGTTTTGCAGAGAACAAAATAAATGTCGTTCATAATAAGCAGCATTACTGGTAGCAGAAACCTCACACCAAGTCCTCCAAACCTAGTTCCTGGGCATCAGTTTGCATTTCAGTCCAACAGGCATGAGAAGCGCAACAGAGGATGGTAAAGATGATGAAGGGGAGCCATGGCAGCCCAGGAGAAGGCGACAGAGCGTATGAGCATCCCTGGCCATCAGAAAATCCTGAGCTCTCATTACAGCTTTGCCGTGTACTTACCCATGAGCCCAGTTCTTCTCATCTGTGAAATGCGCATCATCGTAGCATTTGCCAAAATTGTGAGGATTCAACCAATGTCTCATTGTTGATTAAGTGAAAAGCTCTGGACAAGTCTAAGCAATGAACGTGAGCCAAGGGGAACTGTGGTAGATGTTTTTAACCTGCTGGCCATGGAGATCTGTGTTCCTTGTAGGGTCACGTCCCAGACTGCCCTGGGACTCAGCGTTGCCTGAGTCCCTCACTTTACCACTCTGACTCCAATACACACTCTTTTGTCTCCTAGATTCTGAACTTTTTCTTAACTTCTTACTTTAATAGTCATTTCTCTATGAGATTTTTATATGTTTTTTTAATTGTTCAATTATAGTTGTCTCCATTTCCCCCCATTACTCTCCTCTGCCCTACCCACCCTCCACCTTTCACATTCAGTCCTCGCCACCCCTCATCTTTGTTCATGAGTCCTTTATACATGTTCCTTGACTTGACCTTTGCCCTTCTTTCCCTCATTTTCCCCCTGTGGTCACTGTCAGAGTGTTGTTGTTTATGTCCATGTCTCTGGTTCTGTTTTGATTTTATGTTTGTCTGTATGTGGGACTCAGTTTGTTAGTGATGATGTTGAACTTTACCTCAGTCCTGTGCTTCCGGAAAACAGAAATGTGTAAAAAATCCTCCCTCCACCCCCTGTGTTCCTGGACCTGGCTTACTACAAAGAATGCCCCTTCCTCATTGTCTTCATAAGACACCCATGTCCCCAGTCTTCACTTTTGACCACACCAGATCCCCATTCTTGGTTTCATAAGTGATTAGCTGGACTGTTTGTCCCTGCTGACCAAGCTGTACCAAATGCTTGCTCATTTGACTTTACCGACATAAATTCAGCTTTTCTTCTTCCCTTAAGTCCCTGCACTGGCCCACTCTCGAGCATATGGGAGCATTGGGAGCTTACGCAAGCATTGCAACTCAGAACAACCCCTTTTAACAGCCCCTCTGAGAATCATCGACTCTAAGGAGAACAATTTTCTAATTGTGGGATCATGCCACCTGCTCACCCCACCCCTCACACCCACTTCTTTGTAGCCTTGTTGTACTTCTCCCTGTAAAAGTAATTCTTTTCTGCTCTCACCTGAAGTACTTGCAGATATTATGATAATAGTGTTACAATAGTCTTTGCAAATAAAGTCTCTTTTTATCTGTCTGGGTTTGTTTTCATTTGACAGTTGAATATAGTTAATCCTGATTTGAATAATAAAAGAGAAGAGAGGGGAATATAGTTGAAAATTTTATTATAATGATAATGGTAATGATATTAACCTTTTTCTCAATTTCCTCAGGAAAATTTTTCTTCATTTTTATATTTCCCCAAATGCTGATTTGCTCTTCCTTGCTGTGTCACAACCACACTTTTAAAAGAGTTATGTGTAATTCCAACCTCTTTTCTCACTTGCTGTTCACTCTTCAACCCACTGCCAGCCGCCCTGGACTCTGCCACATCCGTTCCACCATTTCCCTAAAAATCTCCTAATCACTGCCACCAGTGGCTGCCCGGGTGTCTAACAGGCATCTCTAGCTCTGTATCTTTTTATACCTCTCTGTAGCACTCGACACTACTGGGGAGAAAAATCCATTACTTGATCGTCTTCCCTTCCATAGTATTTACTTCTGATTTTCTTTCCTGGATCCTGTTACCCTTGCCAGCTTTTAAATGTGGATGCTTTAAATTCCTTATGCATTCTGTGTGGTTCCTGCATGACCCCATTCCTTTCCTTCACATTGGTGATTTCTATGTCCACAGCCCCCGCCCATATCTCTCCACTGAACTCTGCACCATACCTACCACTGTCTATTCCAATGACATCCCCTTAATGGTTCCTTTCAACAACCCAGAACTAAGCTCGGAGTCTTCATCTTGTATCCCTTATATCTCTCCTCCCGTGGTTACTTTGTTTCTTCATTCAAAAAGCTTATGTTAGATATCTGCCATGTGTAAGATGCTTTGATATGTACTAGAAGTAAACTGATAAATAAGAAAGGCATAGTTTTTTGCCCTCTGGGAGTTTACAGTCTAATGAGAGAGAGAGACATCAAACAACTAATTGCACAAGTGAATATTTAATTATGATTTTAATGACTATTTGAAAAATGCAGAGAATTTTATAAGTCAGATATCTGGGATATTAAAGATATGTCCTTCTCCCTTAGCCCTGTACAGTTTACCTCCTTAATATTTCACTGAACCATTCCTTAGAGTTCTTAAAGAAAACCTGCTTCTTAGTTTAGCCCCTCATGCATTTGCAATGACCTAGATTGTCGCAGTGACCTTTTACTAAGCCCCTTTCCCGTCCCTGCTTAAATCCACTCTTTACACTGCTTCCACAACGAAAACGATCATGCAGTGAAGCTAATCTTCACCAACTCAGTGTCTGCAGTTATCAACTCTAATCTTTATTTTCTCCCACTTAGACACTTGTACTAGCTTTGCACTTCCTTCTGTGTAAATTTTGGTGTGCCATTCAGAACCCCTTGTGACATGGCCACTCTGTCCTCGCTGTCCCCAGGAGAAAACTCCTTTCCGGCTGTTCCAAGTTCCACACATTTCCTTGATTGCTCCATCCTTTCTCTCACCTATATAAGCCTTTCTATGCCTCTCACCATTTTCAGTACCTCTAGGCAGCACTTACAGATTCACAGGAGGCCACAAGAGCACGCGGTGCCTCCATCACCAGGTGGGCATCTCCCTGAGGTTAGGTTCTGTATTTGTTTCTCTCTGTATTTATATTATGGTGTCTGGCACATGGTGTTTGCCAAAGAACATAGGTCTCTCTAAAATGAAGTTACATTAGGCCCAGATTATAAGAAAATGTTTCAGTAACATTTTCACTCTTTCGTCCTAGGAGGACAAAGGAACACAGAAGTATTTTCACTATTTTGTCCTACGAGGTCACAGGTTTAGGTTTTCGAAAAGTGACTCTGATTCTCTCCAATTATTCTGTCAGGAGGGTATAGAGGGACTGTCCCTTATAATTGTTTTAGTATGAAGATAACACGTGCTTTGGAATTAGATGAGGGTGGAGAATTCAAGCAATGAGCTTGATTATCCTTCAGATCCCTGTTAGACCAAATTTAACTGAGAAGGCTCTTTGTTTTTTGAAGACTTACTATCCAAGTTATTATTGGTGGATCCTTATTGAGCCGTAAGACTTCTTAGGATAGAGGACACATTGTTCCAAGTTTTTCAGAGAGTGACTCCCCAGATTGCAGGCACTAGAATCATCTGGAGGGCTCTTTAGATAGAACCTAAGACTCTTCACCACACATAGTGAATCAGAACCTCAGGCACTGGAACTCATGAATCTTCGTGCTATTAAGATCTCCAGGTCATTAGGATGCACATGGAAGTTATACTCCCTCTGATACGAAGCTTAGCTCTTGATTAGGGTAGTCTTGGGTTTAAATCCTAATTATGTCATTTATTAGCTAAGCGATTTTGGCCAGCTGATGATTTTGCAAGCCAACATCCCCAAATCCTAGATACTAGAAAGCAGCCTGTCACCCCAGAGACGGCCGTACCCCGTTCACCAGGTAACACAGTCCCAGTGCAGATCTAAGGCACGATGTACTCACAGCGATTCTGGCTGCCTCTAATCCTGACCATGCCCCAGTGTTTTAAATTGTTTTTCCCAGTTCTTTTACATCAGTTTAGTCTAAAATAACTTAGCTCATTCATTTTTATGAGCAAAACATCTGGGAAAAGCCAGGCATTGCTATTGCATTTTTAACAGGGTAAGTGAATTTAATCCGCATTTCCTGCAGCTGCTATTTTCCCTCCTACTGGGTTCTTGGGCTTTTATTCCACACCAACACAACATGATATCATCACATGGTTTTTAAGAGTAAGCCTTATTTTCATTTTCAAGCAGCTCAGCAGGAACCTGTAAGGTGTATAAGCACAAATGAGCAAGTGAGGTCTTCATCAAGGTGACCTGGTGTGTTCAAGGCCAGAGACTGGGACGTGACCAAGAATTTCCAATGCAGAGATGTAGAACTTGCTTTCTTACTACCCCCACCTCCTGGTCGTCCAAATCAAAAGACCTTGCTCCTTTGGAAAGCATCTTGGTGGAGCTCTCTGTAGATCTGACATTACAGACATTGCTGCCTCCTTTTATTGTTGAAACCATTTCTGGGAAAGGTTGACCATATAAGGTAAGAGTTAGATTCAGCCTGATTATCTACTTACTGTCAAGTCTAATTGCCTGGGTTCTTATTACTGATGCATTCCAACACAGTGACTAGGGAGTCTCTCCTGCTCTCTCGAGATGCTATTATTTTTGGCATATACATCTATATAGTTATACATTTTTAACTACTCCCATTTTTCAAATGTTTATCCTTGTCAACATTTGCCTCCTGACAGTATAAGCTCCTTAGATGAGGACTTGGATTTATGATAATCTTTGTACAGTACCTAGCCACATATGTGAGCTGATTTTTATAAACTGTTTTGATTTCGGAACTGGTAGATTTGATTTTAGAAATGACCCACTCCAGGAATGCAAACTATAGTGACTTCAGGGACCAGGGAGTGGCAGATTACAAGAAAATTGGGATATATAGGACTGAGAGCCCAGTGATTCCACCTATTGCAAAGAGACTGTAGTCAAACCAAACACTTGTGGTTTGTATTTATTTCATGAGTCATTGGTTTGCAACTTCTAATCTAGAGGTGTATCCAAATGGTTAGAAGCTAACAATTAGTTTACAGTCATGTCACTGAAGTTCAAAACATGGCCCAGCCACTTACTAGCTATGTAATCTGCAGCAAATGTGTAATCATTTCCTTAATTTAGTCCTCAATAAATATACTACCTCCATTATAGAATTATTTGGATTTCTTGAAATAATATGTTAAGACAACTTAGAACATTGCCCATAGCTGTTTTTATTGGTGTCCCAGCCTCTTTACCATTTGGGGCAGGAAACTGAAGCTCGGGGGCTGACGTATTTCACAGCCCTACAGCAGAGCTTACATTATGACCCAGAACACTAAAGTCCCAGTTGAGTATACTCTCCTCCACGTCAGTGATTTTCAAACATGATTTTATTACCAGCGGAACTCCCCTCACCTTTTACTTTTATTTTATTTTATTTATTTATTTATTTATTTATTTATTTATTTATTTATTTATTTATTTTTATTGTTGTTCAAGTACAGATGTCTCGATTTCCCCCCACCCATCCCCACCTCCAACCCTCAATCCTACTCCCCTTTGGTGACCCTCTCCACCCATTACCCTATCCCCCCTCCCCTCTGGTTACTGTCAGTTTGTTCTTTATTTCAGTGTCTCTGGTTATATTTTGCTTGCTTGTTTTGTTCATTAGGTAAAGTATTATGAAGAAGTCTAGCATAGAGCAGATTTGAGTGGTTCTGCTGTGGATGAAACAGGTTGGGGAGTCCAAAGCCCTACCCATTGGCCACTCCTCCCTGCCACCCTTCTTGCAATCCTCATGACTCTGAAGAGTCTAAAGGAATGTGTGAAAACTATTGCACTGAGAAGTTTGAAAACATAAATGAAGATCTAAAAAGGAGATAAAGCCTGTCTTCTTGGCATGTGTGCATTTTCTCTTGCAAGACTGTATGTCTCTGTTAGCACTAAGACTACCTTTCAGATATAAAAATAAAAAATGAAAGTGGGTGAATCCCTTGAAGCCATGGAAAATGATACCCACCAAAGCCCCTTATACCCATCTTGCTGTCACTTAGCAAGGAACAGAAATCACGAAGCTCATAATTTATGGCTTTGGTCCGACACAGAATTGTTTAACATTGCCTATAAATCAAGCTTTTTCTCAACCATTTTATCAGTGATAGTAATTATTCTGGGTCCCAGTGGGCAGGGAGATAAAGAGATCTGCTGCCTTACAGGTCTTCCATCTTCTTGCAGGACATGCACATTATCAGTACCGATGAGAACCAAGTGTTTGCAGCGGTCCAAGAATGGAACCAGAACGACACCTACAATCTCTACATCTCAGACACACGTGGGATCTACTTCACCCTGGCCATGGAGAACATTAAGAGCAGCCGAGGTCTAATGGGGAACATCATTATTGAATTGTATGAGGTATGTAGCCACGGTTGTCCCACACCTGGATCTGACTCTCTTTTTTATGAGTTTTAATGGTATAAACACAAACGTGGGAGTCACAAAGGCCTGGGTCAGATCTCTGCTGTGCCACTTAGCCACTGTGTCACTTGGGCAGGGACGCTATCTTCTCTGTGCCTCAGTTCCCCTCCCCTGTACAATGGAGGTAAACTATCTAATGAGATATTGTGAGAACAAGGGAAAATGTTTGTGAAGCATCCAGTGTGATGGTTGCCTTAGTAAACGTTCAACAAATGATATCTAAAGTTGATGTTCTTATAGGCATGACCATAATTACAAATCAGAAATTAAGGTAATTGGCCTTTGTGACCTTTTATGCACATTTTCAATTTTATGCTTCTTACAGACCCTAGGTGAAGAAAGTTATTTATATGCCTTAAATTATTTTTAAAATCTAAATAATTTAATTTCGTGGAGATCGAACATCAGCTGTATGTTTTTAAAAAGTTTTATGAACTAATTTTATGGAAAATACACATGGACATCGGTAATGGGCATGAAGGTTTCCCTAATATGCCATCGAGTGCCAGTATCTGGGCATGAAGAAATGGTCTTCGCTTATGTGGAGTTTTTCTTTTTTAAATATACCTTTCTTGAATTTGCACTTACAGAGTCTTTTAATAATATGATTACTATTTAAAGAAGAGTTTATCTAGGAAACCAGGTGACTCCATAGAGGAACTAGATTTCAAAACTAGTGGTCTCAGTGACCCTAATGCTGTAGTGCTTTTTTTGTGCCTCTAGTGACAAGTGTGTCTGTCCTTTGACAATCTGAGCCACGGTGAAGGTACTTGATTGAGCACCTTGGGGTGATGGATGGATTGATTTGAGCGAAGAAAGCATGTCTCATTATTTAATATTCACTATGTGAGTCAAACCCACATAGACTGTGCTGTTTGAAGTCATTTGTTCATGCAAGGACAAGTTGTGTGTTATGGGTGGTAGCCTCAGATGGTTCGGATGAATTTTTCTCTTTGAGGGGTGAGAGCAGTGGGGTCAGGGCATGGGCTTCTGCTTTACAGTGTTCTCCTCTGAGCAGTGCCTGTCACAGATCCAGCATTTCTGCACTGGTGTCTAAATTGGCTGCTCAGTTACTGGTAGTGATGGAAACATGTACGATACTATTCTTTTATTAGGGTAGAGAGAAGGTTACAGAAAGGTAGGGTGAATGGAAGTATATTTTTAAAAGGAGAGAAATGAATGTCATTCATTATAACTAAAATCAGTAGAAATATCCTGGTTTCCTAAAGCAGTAGATGGCAAGTGCTAAAACAATTCCTTTAATAATAAGGTTCATTTGGAAAATTGCCCAGATATCTTCCTAGAGTTGTAAAAATTGGTAAAGGTAACTAAAGAATATATGTGGAGGAACCCAAGAAAACCAGAATTATCTTCTGGAGGCTGATCCTCTTGTGATACAGGTTTCCCCAGCTAGGTGAGTGTTCCAGGAACCCATCTGTATCAGTGTAGCAGCTGGTGGTGTTGTGAGAGGCTGTGTTCAGCTTCTGTGATTTTTTTTTGTTTTGTTTTGATGAGTCTTTCACTTGGTGGGAATTCAGACTGGCGACGCCACTGCGGAAAATAGAATGTAATTTCCTCAAAAAACTAAAAATGGAACTGCCTTTTGATCGGGCAATTCCACTGCTAGGAATATATCCTAAGAATCCCAAAATACCAATTTAAAAGAACTTATACACCCCTATCTTCAGAGCAGCACTATTTACAATAGCCAAGTGCTGGAAACAGCCTAAATGCCTATCGGTAAATGAACAGATCAGTAAACTGTGGTATGTTTATGCAATGGAATACTACACAGCAGAAAGAAAGAAGGAACTTCTATCTTTTGCAACAGCATGGATGGAACTGGAGACTATTATGCTAAGTGAAATAAGCCAGGCAGTAAAAGACAAATATCCTATGATCTCACCTATAAAAGGAACTTAATGAACAAAAATAAACTGAGAAAAATAGTACCAGAGGTCTGGAAACAAGGAACAGACTGACAGCAACCAGAGGGGATGGGGGAGGGGAATAAGGATGGAAAGAGGGGGAAGGGACCTGTTAAAGAACATGCACGAATGACTCATGGGACAACAGTGTGGAGATTGTCTGTGGGAGCCGGGGCTGGGCTGGGCTGAAGAGGGCAAAGCAGGGGAAATGGGACAACAGTAATAGAAAAACAATAAATTTTTTAAAGAAAAGAAAAAAAAAGCCACAGTCAACGGGCTTGTCCATTTCATGATGAGTTGTTTACTTACACCAGTCTGAGTGTTCAGCAGTTTTTGACCCTATGCCCCACCCTCCCTATTCACCACATCTTGCCTGGAGCAAGTTTTTTTTGTTGTTTATTTTGTTTTCCTGGATGAAAAAAAGTCCTCAAAGGGAAACATGTTGCCAATGTAGAAGAGGCAAAACAAAAAAAGAGAAGTACTAAAAGGCATCAGAATTGAGAAGTTCAAAAACCTGTTTTAAGCAGTAAAAAAAAAATTTCAATAGGTGCATTACATCAAAGGGAGAGTACTTTGAAGATAACTGAAGTTTAAACATGTAAGAATAAATACACATTTTTATTTTTAAAAATCCAGGGTTTTTTTGTGTCCCCCCCCATAATTGGGTTTGGGAAGCTTCCATTTCCATGCCTGTAATCATCCCAGGAAGAAGAATATACCTTTGTTATTGGACAATACATCCCTGCTCATGGGAAGGTTTGGATGCATTGTCACAGGACTGAGGCCACTTTAACAAAATTCCTGTTTGTACAAGTCAGGCTGTAAGGCTAAAAGAATTATCCATACTCCTGTGACCACACCCAAGAGGAGGGTAGACCTTCCTGCAGATGATCTTTCAGTTGACAATGTCCTGGGTCTCTGACCCTACCGGTGATGGTGGGTGAGATTACCACTGTGCTGTTTCTTTCCCAAGGGAACCTGAAACTCCTTGGTCATTTAGAACAGCGACACACTACAATCTGAACATGACTCAACATGAAGAATATACTTTTTTCCTTCTTGCTGAAGTCAGTCTTGCATTTTTGGTCTTCATGGGTGAAAAATGGCACGGTGCCATTGCATGTATAGAGAAGCAAGAAGATGTACCAAGGAAGGCAATTTCTGCAAAACCAGCACTACTGAGCTGTCTCTCCATTCAATTTGATCATGGTTTACTGTGCCTCTACTTGGTATTCAAGTCTGTGAGGAAGATAGGAGAGATGATGGGTCTTACTTTCAAGGAGGTTGAATTCAGTTTGTTGGGCTTTGAAAGCTCAAAAAAACAAATTCCCTTTTTACCTGCCCAAGATTGGAACCAATCGAGACAGAGACAGAGCAGAGACAGAGCAGAGACAAATGGAGACCAAATATCAGCTGTATTGCTTTTTTAAAAGTTGTGTAGGAGAAGCTGGGCTTGCTAATACTGCACTCCGGAATTGTACACATCCATCCAGTAACAGGCAGAAATAGTAAATTAATAAGTAAATTAAAAAGACAGAGAAGCCTGTCTCTGTAACAGCATCACACTGAGGTACAAAAGATGTGATCTTTGCAGGCAGACCCCCAGTTTTTTCTCAGAATTACCATACATTATCAGATTATTTTCCCTCAGGAGGAAAAAGTGAAGAAGTGGAAGGCATTCCATATGTTAAGAGTGGCATGAGCCAAGAATTGGACAGAGGGTGTATATTTGTAAGTTTGTAAGTTAGCCAGTGTCATGGAATAGAATAGATGCTTGTCAGGTACAAAAATGAGTGCTGGATAAATATTTGGAGTTCAGATTTTAGAAGGCATTGAATACCAATGGGAATAAATGGTATCCTGACACTATCTAGACCATGAACAGCATACTGAAGGTTTTTAGAGGGCAATTCTGTATCACACCTGGAGATATGTTCTGTGATTTGGAGACAAACCTCGATTTAATTGGTCTCTAGGGGTCATTAGACTTTAACCTTCTTCACTGGCTATTCTCATAGAAGCTGAGATTGCGTAGCATATGGCCAGTTAGCAAAGAGACTATAATTTTTCTGGGCTCTGAATGCCCTTGAGTAATGCATCTGGTAAAACCAGTAAGCTTTCACATTAAATTCAGCAAAATTAACACACTTTTATGGAATGTACTGTTTGATGATATGGGAAAAGATATAGGTGATTCTATTAGGGTAACCAATGATAACAGATGTTTATTAAAGTCATAATACCCCATGTTGTGGGACCACTAAAAATGAAGGTTAATTCTAACTTGAGAAATTTGGGGAAACTTACAATGAGTTGGCTTGAAGAATGAATGCTGGAGCTTGAGGGAAAGACATGCCTGGTGGAATCCGAGCATGAGCAGAGAACCCGAGTCGGCTGAGTAGAGGTCTATTTTGATAGAATGTTGAGTGTCCTTGGGGAATAGTAGGGATAAAGGTTCCAAAGTTACCAGTAAAGAACTTGACTGAAGACCTAGGAATTTATTCTATAGGCTGGTACTTCTCTATTTTCATCTACATACCTAGTGAGTGGTATTTCTATGCATGATGTAGCCCATATTTCAAATTAATGTTGAACTGTATATGATAATGTAACAGGATAACCTGTATTCTCTTCTCTGAAATGTCAGAAATGCCTTTCACTATCACAGATGTGAGGTGGCTTAGACTGACCATAGCCACTTAAAGCTACTGGTATATCACTCCATCTTCCACAGTGACCTCTCAAGCCTTTTCCTGACAATGGAAAGGGGGCAAAGAAAGTAAAAACTTCCTATCTTAGACTTTATCTTGCAGGTCATGGCCACTGAGAGACCTTGGAGACCAGTGGGGATCAACCCCAGTAAACTCACTAAAACCCAATAAGACAAATACATCATCATTTCTTGGTCTGTTGGAGCAGTCTGCTGCTGAAGAGTCTCTTCTCTCTTTAATCCCTGACTCAAAGTACAGTATTTTCATAGATGTAATTACATATTCAGGGGAGAAAATAATTTTTGAAGGCCAAATAATAATCAGTCTCTTCTTTAAGGTTTCAGAGCCCATTCTATCAAAACAGGGCTGGTGTTGACCACAAATGTAGTCCAATTGCATGTGCTCACCATTATTCTTATGACACTCTTTTCATATAGGGCAGTTCTCTCTTTACATCCCTAACTATAAACTGTATTTCTTTTTAGTTGCTCTCCACTGATAAATCAATAAACAAATATTGTTTTCAGCATTCTCAGTTATATTATGGAAACATGCTCTGGGTGGCCCATCTGATGGATTTTCTTCAGTGCTTTCCTGAATATTAAGCATCCAATGTAAACTCCTTATAATAACATCAGGCAATGCCTTAGGCTGGCATTGTTGAATAAATATGTACACGTGTAATTTAAAATTTTATACTACCTACATTAAAAATGTAAAATGGAACAGGTAAAGTAAATTATAATGATGTATTTTATTTAACAAAAATGTCCAAAAGATATTATCATCTCAGTACAAGTTCATTATGAAAAACTGCTGACATTATATTTTTTCCATACTAAGTTTACAAAATCTTGGGTGTATTTTACATTTCTCACACATCTGTATTCATATGTTAAATTTTCATCAGAAATCCTTGATCAGTATCTACAGTTCATAAAATTTACAATAGGAAAATGCAGATTCACACACACAAAGTTATTCGAGACATACTTAAAAGTTTACTAATGACTAAATTGGTCACCAGTGTTCAAACTGGTTAAAATTAAATAAAATCATACATAAATTTCTTGGTTCCACTGGCCACATTTCAAGTGCTCAACAGCCATGTGTGGCTAGTGGCTATGGTATTGGACGACACCAACAAAACAGCTTATATACTTTTCCTTATTTACCTATTGCAATGTCCCCTGCGGTAGGTATCATTCCCCACTGTGCATATGGGAGTACAGACATGCAGAGAATTCAGTAACATGGCTCAAATCACCCGGCCAGTAAATGCTAGCAATTGAGCAATTAAACAAACCCAGGTTTGTTTGTCTAGAAATCCCAGACTCTTTCCACTATGTATTTTTCCATATTATTTTTTATTGAGGTATAATTTATATACAGTAAAATTTATCTTTTACTGTGTACAGTTCTATAAATTATGACAAAGGCATATAGTTGTGTTACTACCACCACAATGAAAATATAGAAATAGGACAGTCGTATTACCCCCAAATATTCTCTCTTTTGGCCTTTTAGTAGTCAACTCTCCCCCCACCCAAAATCACTGGCAAACACTGGTCTGATTTCTCTCTCTCCACCTTTGCCTTTTCTGTGGTGTCTTGTGAGTGGAATTAGACTGTAGGTATTCTTTGAGTCTGGCTGTTTTCACTGATGTATTTGAGACTCATCCATATCATTGAGTATCAATAAATATTCCTTTTTATTTCCAAATAGTATTCAGTAGTTTGGATATATCAGTTTTTTTATCCATTCACCAGTTTGAGGGCATTTAAGTTTCCTTTTGTGCATGATTATGAATAAAACTTTTATAAATAATCATAACTTTTTGTGATTATGAACATAACTTTCTATTTTTCACGGGTCAAAACCAGGAGTAAGATTGACAGGTTGGATATAAGTATATGTTTATAAAAAGCCACCAGGCAGTTTCTAAAGTGGTGGGACCATTTGGCATTGCTGGCAGAGATGTGCAAGCGTTCTAGCTGCTTCACATCTTTACCAACACTTGGTATTGTCAGTTGTGCATGCATGTGTGCATGTGTGCGTGTGATTGTGCATGTATTTAGCCATCCTGAAAGAAGCGTAGTGCTACCTCATTGTGGGTTTAGTTTGAAATTTCTCATGACTAATTTTGTTAGAGGGATAACATGCAACTCTATGAGGTATCCTCAGAGTTCTGGTCTCTTTGACCATGTTATTGATGCTTCCTTGTTTCTGTGTCCCTAATGGATGCCTTCCACCTTCTGTTTTATCATGATCTTAGATGACCCTTTTTTGGCCAGATGGACAATTGCTTATAGCCTCCAGAGGGACATATTTTCCAAACTGACCTTCACTGGATTCTCACCACAGGTTTGACTCTGGGGACAGCCCACAACAGACCGCAGTAATTGCTTTTCTCAGCAGAGCCCTGGTTTTTTTTGTCCTGAGGGCCCAGGGAGGTGAATGACAGATGACCATGCCAGCTGGACTCAGTGCTCTGCCAAGGGGTCACTGTCAACTTCCCTTTGTAGTTCAAATTGACTCCCCGAAAGTGGGCCATGCGATCCTGACACCTTGTACTTCCCTCTTCCATGGGGCCACCACCAGCTGGTGCTTTTCTTCCTGAACTGCTGGGGCCAACAGCAGCAGCCAGGCCTCTGACTCCTAACAACAGTGGGAAGGAGCATGTTTAAGGCACATGCCAGCTGCCTCCTTGGGTGGAGAAGAATTCGAATGTGTGTCTCATTATCTAATTCCTTTACATTGAATATAGTGAGGGTAAGTTGCCTTGCTTGAAATATATGTACCTACATATACCTGCATATATGGGTATGAGTCTATTAGGCTGCATCATAAATACATTTCATTCTTGGGTTACATTCAAAAAGTTTGAACGCTGTTGGCATAAGGTATACAAAAGCAAAGTGACTTCTAAATGTATAGTCCATTTATTTAAGATACAGAGTCAAGAAGCAATTCAGTAATAATGTAAGGGCTTTGACCAATCCAAATCCAAAAGGGAAGCACTCTGGTTCTCTCAAACAAGAGAGAGATTGCTGTGGCGTTATGCGCAGCTGCAGGGGAAAGGCCTTCAGAGCTACAGGTGGGTTTCCTGGGCCCTGAAGGCTTTCTTCCTGTACTTTCGCAGGCTCTGTTCTCCTGATTTTGCTCTCAGGATATGTGGGACACACAGAAGATGTCCATATGAGTGGGAGAGCTCTTAGTGGGAAATGATGGTTGTGAGCGTTCCATTTGCCAAACAGGCTCATCCAGAAGAACACAAGAGGCCAGGGCGTGGCTAGTATTCGGAGGCAGGGGAGAGGGTGACAGGACCCCCTCAGGAGTCGGAGTCTGACTATCTTTTCTTCCAGGAAGTGTACAGCTGGGCCCTGGGTGCACGTTGGACGTGGGCCATCTGGCTAGGGAGGGAGAATTCTTGGAATCCATATCTGGTAGTCCTAAGAAAATACCAAAAGGCAAAAGATTTTAATGAAACATGGACCGCATTCTCTGTGAGGAATAACTGCCAGTTAGGTTTAAGGAAAACACCTTTGCTGTTGGTTTTAAAGACCCATATGATCTGAGGGCCTCATGGTTCCTAGAGAAGCATGTAAGGGGACAGCCTTCCTGAAATGACATGAAATTTAAGCATCTAGGGCAGCAAGGGTACCTCTGGGGAAGGGCATAACCTCTTCAGCAGTGCCCCCCCCCCCCCACAACTTGGCTTCTTCCTTTACCCACCCTCTGTTCAGGTTGAGAATCTAATCAATTCCATTCTTGGCTACTTGTTAAATTCCCCTGGTGGTGTCCTTCCCAGATAATTCTGTTTTCTTTCTGATATTCTTTGTCCATTTTTTTCTTTGTTTGTTTTTATTTGGGCTGACATTCTCTTTCAAGGCCAGTCAGGTTACTAAAATATTAAAAAAAACAAATAGAAAAAGAGACTTCTTATTTCATCAACTAAATTATGCCATTAAAAAAAATAAAAGAGCTCACTTCTGTGGAATTCTTTCCTGCTGGTGTTCTCTCCGAGCTGCAATAAATCTCAGCCATGATCCTTAGAAAATGGGCAATAAATGTAATTAAAATTTTGAGATATCTATTACCCAGAAAACCTGCCATTAAACCTTCTGGTTATATGTACTTGAACTATTTGAGTTATCTTTTAGCTTTGGAGTATACTGGAATTGTATGGGAAGTTAAGAGAATGTTTTTCTTTTTTTGACATAGGATATTGTCAATACAGATAGCTGTTCTTATTGCCCAGAACATAGACACAGTAGGAATAAAAGTTTGAGTGAATTTGTACTTATTCCAAAACCTTCTAGATCATAAATGTCCTTTAATCCTCTAGCTTCTTGTTTTGTGGTGACGCTTCTCCTCCTTCAGAGTATTATGGGTATGCCAATCCCAGTAATCTGGAACTCTGGCAAGAGTTCCTGCGTTATTTCATGTATCCATTGTCAGCCAACCAAGGGAAAATAGCAAAAGCAGGCCCGATTCTGCCTGTTTCAAAGTGACTGCTGGCTGAGAATCAAAGACGACATGGCAGTTCTCCGTAGTCACACAATGAATTAGTGACACAGCCAGAGATAGATTCCAGGTCGCCAATCGGGTCATCGATCCAAAGTATATTTACCTCACTTCCGATTGGGACACCTCAACTTCTGTCATTGTGGAGTATACCTTCATGCCTTGAGAGCCTGTTTACGAGCCCCTCCTGAGCAGGAGAGGGTACCACCTACAGTTGTTATGGACCATGCCCACCTCAGAGGGAATGCTAATAGTTAAGGATAGGGTCCTAGGGAACAAAGTGCAGAGACATGCAAAATGAAAAAAAGCAGGTGGGTAAGAGGGGAATGGGACATGTATGTGGGGGGTGCAGAAATGAACTTAAAATTTTTATGGAGACTATATAGCATGTGATATGTCTCACCATGTTCCTTCTCTTCCTTTTTGTACCCCTAACATCCTGCGGAAAATGCTGGGGCTTCTCTCAGGGCTCCTCTAAGACTATAGGCATTTTGGCCCAATGTGGTTCTCCATCTCTCGCCCTTTTTCCTAGGTAGCAGGTATCAAAGGAATATTCCTGGCAAACAAGAAGGTGGATGACCAGGTGAAGACTTACATCACTTACAACAAGGGCAGGGATTGGCGCCTACTACAAGCTCCAGATGTGGACCTGAGAGGAAGCCCAGTGCACTGCCTGCTGGTCAGTCACCCAGTCTCACGTGAAGTCCGCAGGGAAGGCTGGCTACCTGAGGGTGCTGCTCGGGGGCTTTCTTCTATCGGGGGTCTTAGGAGCTTGGCTGGTGTTGGGCAGGCATTTCCCACAACTCCCAGGGTGTGGATCCTGGGCTCAGACCGTCATACCACTTGGATGGAAAGTTCAGCTTAATATCAGAGGCTTTTACTGAGAAAATAGTATGTGATCTCTTAGTAAGATAAGGAAACATACAAGAGAAAGTACCTGTGTTCCAGAGTCCCAGTAGTAGCAACACACCTCTTAACTGATGCTGATATGGTACAGTTTGACAAGTGTTTGATGTATGTCAAGGTAAGCAAAAGTTTCCTTGGAAGCTCAGGAAAGGTCAGGCTGGTATGTCCACATGGAGTAGTCCATCTATGAGCATCTCCAGGGTTACAGCTGCATGGGATATTCGGGTAGGAGCAGTGGAGGACAAGATGTATAAGATGCTATATCTGCCCTCGGGTGCTACAACTCTAGGTGGGGACAGAAGACAGACAGTTAACATTGACATTCACCACCCTCAGTGCCATCGTAAAGAGGACCTATGTGATAGCAGTCTGGTGGTTACCAGAGGGAGGAGGGAGGGGAAACTGTGGATGGAGGGCAAGTTAATATATAGTGGCAGAAGATGGTTTGACTTTAGGGAGTAAGCACAGAGTAGAATATGTGTGATAGAAATGTACACTTGAAACCTGTCTGATCCTATCAACCAATGTCACCCCAATAAGTTTAAGAAAAACATCTAAAAAATTCTTCTAAGGTTCCAGAGATGGTTATGTTTCTGCTTAGCAAAAAAAAAGTTGCCTGTTGCCACTTATTTAAAAGGTTTATTAACCACTGAATCACATTGTTGACATTATTTTAAAAACTGGAGCTGTAGTGGAAAATAGGGCGGACATAGCCTTTCCTCTTTTGTAGTACGGGTCCAAGTCCACGATTTTTGCCTGGGGTTACTAGGAAGGTCAAAGACAAATGCCTACCTATTTCTAACAACTGGTCACAACATAATTTTTCCTTCAAACCTTACCTGTGGCTTTATCTTATTTCTTTGACTTAATTTTCTACTTACCCAATTTCATCATTTTCATATTTTTTATTTATTATGTAATATCTATATTATACATCCCTATACATTATTTTAAACAACACACAGATAGGGATAAATAAATAAATAAATATTGGACGCAAAGTTACATGAGTTTTACATGAGGTAATGGCTTCAAATATCTTAAATAAAATTCAAGTGAAAATTATAAATAGAAACCAAATACATAAAACAGAAACAGAGATAATCCGGTTGAAAAAGAGGGTAGAAGGCCAGGCAATCAGCTTTCGCTTGTCACCCCTCCCAGCGGGAGCCCTCAGGGCTCTGGAGCAGAGTGTGGTGGTCAGGATCAGACATGGGGGGGAAGGTCAGTGCCACCTGGTAGTAAGGAACAGTTAGGGAGGTATCATAAAGCTGGCCATGACCTGGACCTTGATGGATGGGATGGGGTTGAGGAGGAGAAGGGAGAGCAGACAGTGTGGCGGGAACAGGGCCAGGTGCTCAGGGCACCTCCTCATGTGAATGTATCAGCCATCTCAGGTGGAGATGACTTCTGCCCAGGCCTGGGTGTGTGCCTCACACCCAATCCTCGCTGTTTCCGGAAGCCTAACATCTGGTGAGGCAGGGCCGTCTGTCAGGGGTTTCCTGGAATGAAGCCATTTCCTCCTTTTTCCTTGTAGCCCTTCTGCTCCTTACACCTGCACTTGCAGACCTCCGAAAACCCGTATTCCTCGGGAAGAATCTCAAGCAAGGCGACAGCCCCGGGACTTGTGGTGGCGACAGGTAAGGGAGATGTTCCCTGGACTCCTCCTCACTGAGAGCTGCTGGGTCGTGTTTGTAAATTCCGAGGATTCGTTTGTGCATCAGATGAAAGCTGTGGGCACTCTCGCCAGGACATAGGCAGGGTACCTGGATCCCCAAGGCCATTCTAACAACCCAGGAAAAGAGCTCCAGGCCCTTGTACGCTTGTAACTTCTAGGTGAGTGTACCATCCCTCAGGCACAGAGCAGTCCTCTCAAAGTAAACCGACTGCTCAGAAAGATTATTTGTAATAGGGAGTTCTCATCCGAAGAAAAGGTGACCTATGAACTTCCTAGCTCACCAAATACAAGTTGGGGTAGTGCTCTCTTTACACAGAGGATTCTTCACAAAGGGTTTCATCCCCCAGCTCTTTTTCATTACGAGGTCTCCCGTGCATGGGAAGGTTTGTTTGCACATGATTAACACTTGGCTGAGGGCCTGGGGAAAAGGACCAAGAACTTAAGGTTGTGCTGTCCACTAAACATCAATCAGAAATGAAGATAAAGCCACTCGGAAATGAACAGGAAAGTCTCTGGGGAAGGTGCTCTGATTAGCATGCGTCTGATTTACATACGCCTTCTCAGGAATACATTGATGGCATGAAGGAGGCAGGCTTCTCCTCTCAGAGGCTGGAGCTCCGGTATCAGGCAGCTTTTCACTAATGAAAGCAGATAAATTCACAGCGTCTTGCAGAGGGGCACATTCTGTTCTTTCTCATCCACCTGAAGCTCTGCCCCTGCACGGACTGCTCTGCTAGACGAGGCTTCGTTGCCTCCAGCTGTGCGAACTTTAAATACTGCCAGCACCCAGTCACTCTAATCAGATGGGCAACGAGGTTAGCCTTCTGGCATTTCGGTGGACTTCTCTCAGCCCCATCGGGTTGGGCTCACTGTATTTATCAGCACTGGCTTCAGAGAGCTCGGGACAGTGAGAGAAGAAAGCAGGCAGTCTCTGTTGCCATTCTCCCAGCTTGGGGAGATGTCTGCACTCTAATGCATGTGGGTGTACCTCCCCGCCTCGTGGCTGCTGTACTCTCTGGCTCTCTCAAGGTCTGCAGGAGGCCCTGGACTGGAATACGAGCAGCACTGAAAAACCGTAATCCATAATAAAAGTTCATGTTCTTTAAGTATGTGTGTACTATGTAGCCAGGCTTTGTTGTATGTGACTTTGCTGCACTGAACTTGAGTGTTTTCATTGGCAAAGTGGGAATAATAGCAGAGACAGAATTGGAGGAGTAAATGAAGCAATGGATTTAAAGTGCTCGGAACATTGCCTAGGATATATTGAGTCCTCAATACAGGTTACCTATTACCATTAATATCACAGAAGTTAAAGCCACTGTTTCTGCAATGGAAGAAAGTGATTTGCTCATCTCCTTCAGCAGAGTCCGTAAATCATATGCGTTCACTGCATGAATGAATGTGCTCGGTAACCCTGCCGTCCTGCTCCACAGGCTGAGCTCTGCCACTTCCTAGCTTCGTGAATTCGGCTTCATTCTTTAACCACTGAGCTTTGTTTTCCTCATCTGTTAAACAGGGGTGTTTTCTAATTCGGGAGGGTGATTAAGAATTAGAGATGGAAGAGTGAGTGTGTTTACACAACCCGGCAAAGGGCTAAGAGCATGGGGAGTGGAGTTACTGGTGGTTGTTATTACCTGTGACCAGCACATGCCTCTGAATTAGTCCAATGCTGAGGCTTTATAAATGAACAAACATGCAGACATGAAAGATTTGGTTTTTATTTTTTTATCAGAATATATCAGAATTAAGTAATTTACTTTTTCTCTCCCCTTTGTAACTCTTGTAACTTGGTATGGCTTTTTGCTGCATCCTGGGACCTTGGAGGGATATAACATAGCTTCCCAGCTCCTGATGAAAAGGAGGAGCTGATCCCTGGCACATGATTTCAACTACCCCTGTTTCTCCTTACCCTGTATGCCAACTCTTACTGCGAGATTATTTGCTATGAAATAATTACGAAGTCAGCCAAGGGTCTCTTCAGTGGACTGCACAGAGCCTGTCTCTCCAGGGCCCTTTCCTACATGCATACATCTCTCCTGCCTTTGGGTGTCAGTGACCCTGGGCTCTCTCCCCTCCACTCCTGTTACTGCCTCTGCCCATCGCGCACTGAGCAGTGATCTCAGGGAAGCTGTGTGGACGAAAGTGTTCCCCTGGATTCATCTCCAATTCCTACCGAGGCTGTCTCAGAAGGAAGATGGAATTCCAATCTGGAGAGCTTGACAATTGCTTTTAGTACGCAGACTCACTAGGGTTCTTCATATTCTTACCACTGTGGTTTCATGCTGGTACTCCAGACCCGGGGCTGCCTGCCATACCTCTCCCCACTTCACTTGCACCTCCTCTTTGAGCCCTGAGCCCCAGGGTTATTTTTAGAAGCCTGAGTGTCAAAACAAATAGGCTAGCTGTGTCCTGATGGGGGCTTGACAAGCTGTAGCCTGGCTTTAATTTCTCATTTTGAAGCATTAAATGTCAGGAGATGAATTAACATTTTCATTATTGCATTTTTATTGTGTTCTTATTTAGGCTACAGATGTGTGGGAGCTAACATTCCTTCCTGCTTTCTCCCCACCCTTCCTGCTGTTTTTTAAATAAAAACAAATACTGGTCAAAATGATATATTCCCACATGTTTAGGATACCTTCCTGATTCCCAATGCCTCCCAAATGCACATCAACATCGGAACATGATTCAATCACCTGTCTACTCATTCATTCATTCCACAATTAATTATTGAGCAACTAACTGCTACATTTGGGACACTGTTCTGGACTCTAAGGGAGTTGGGGTATCCATTAAGGACACTTGGGCAATACAGATAAACTAGAAAATCTCAATCACTTTCTTTTACAATAAATATAACCCCAAGGTAATAAAGTGCAAGAGTAAGAAAAAGGAGGGGAGAGAAAAAAGACTGAGCAGTAAGTGTGGTCAGTCTAGGCATAAACAAGATGACTTCTTTACCTGCCATGCTTGATGGCATGGTCTCCCAAGTCTTATTCCGGGCACTTTATATAGTTTATACTATTGGTTCACTCAAGTGCCTGTCACTCAAAGACACATTTTGACAAGTTAGAGGTGGAAACAGCCACAGCCAACGCAGTTTGTTGGAGCATCGTCCTGACGCGTCAGGTTGTGGGTGTGATTCCTGTTCAGGGCACATATAAGAGTCAAGCAATGGACATGTGAATGAGTGGAACAGCAAGTCGATGTCTCTCTCTTTCTCTCCACTCCTCTCCCCCCACCACACAACCCTTCTTCCTTGTCTCTAGAATCAATAAAGTTTTTTTAAAGTTGTGTGGGATACCCACAAGGACACACACACACACACAGCAGTTTTTCTGAGGCTAAAATATATGTAAGGAGAAAGGTGTTCCTAGGCCCAGCTTCTCCATGCCCGTCAACTCTTCTATGCTCTGCCATCTCCAGGGAATACCTGTCAAGATCAATTTTTAAGAGATTACTGGTATATAGAATGAATACTTCAAGAGATCCAAGCTAATCAATATTAGTCTTTGAGTTTTACCATTTAAAGATCCATTTCTGTCATATTATTTAATTTTTGTCTCCTATTCGGTTCATCTTCTTGCTGGGTTTTTTGATACGATACCAAGAAAGAAATCATACAGATGAACTGTAAACATCATTTGGGAAACCTTTACTCACCGTTCCCCTCTCCCCGAATCCCAAGTACCTGTAATCTATCAGGTGCCCGCTAATTTCAAATACTCTGCTTCTGTTGCAGGTAACATTGGCCCGGAGCTCTCATATACTGATATCAGTGTGTTCATCTCTTCCGATGGGGGCAACACATGGAGACAGGTAACTGGGAGATCCAGAGACAGGGAAGAGGGATGTAGGGCAATTTCTTATAGCATCTCACCTTCCTATAGATTCTCAGGCACAATGTACCTTTGTGGTTGCAAAGAAATGGAAGCAGCTGTTCAGTTGGGTCAATTGGGTTGGGAGATTAGATGACCAGTGGGGTCAAACCAAAAGACCACTTGGCAGGGCATAGGAGGAACTGGAATTTCTCCGGTTACTTTATTCTTTTATTCAGCGAATTGGTACGGAACAGTCACTGGATGTGCAGTACTATGCTGGTTGCTAGGGATACAACTGATAAAATGGTTTCTATCATTAATGTGCCATGGGATCTTTGCAAGCAGGTCTCTTAATCTCTCTGAATCTGTTTCTTTATCTACAAGATGAAGGGGGTAGAATACTAAACCAGCAAAATGGTAGAATCCTATGATTAAATATTGTGTAGGTCTCACCATGAATAAGTATGAAATAGCTGCATAGATACATGACTATATGAACAAATAATTCAGTTTTGCAAACATTTGGAGCAGTGCTGTCCAATAAAACTTTCATCAGTGATGAAAATGTTCTATATCTGTTCTGTCCCTGTGGTTACTGAGCTCTTGAAATGTGACTAGTGTGATAGAGGAACTGAATTTTAAATTGTATTTGTTTTAATCAATCTAAATTTGAATAGTCTCGTGTGGCTACTCTATTGGACAACATAGATTTATACAATGCCAACGAGGTATGATGTACAGAACTAAGAAGGCAGTTGAGTACTTCAGATTTCTTTCCTCAAGGAGATCAAAATTAAGTAGTGGAAATGGGCTTATAAATAACTGGAGCTTAGGGTGATTTTATTATTTTAGCAGCATAATTAGCATGTAGAGAAAAGAAAGGAGTTGTTCTACTTGGAAAAACTGGGAAAGACTTCACAAGAAGAGCTGAAATTTTACTAAGTTTTAAAGGTAAGAAGTTTTCTACCTGGGGAAGAAAAAGGAATATCTTGATGATGAAGGTGAAGTCACCATCTGAAATCTAGTTGGATAATGTTGTCATCGCTATCATCAACATCATCACCACCCTCATTGCCACTGCTGTCACCACTACCACTGTCAAAACAATTTACCGAGGACTTACTAGACACAACCAAGTACTTCAAGGTATACAACAAAAAATATGTTCGTGTTCCTATTCATGAAGCCATAATCAGGTGGATGAGGAAAAGACTCAAAAATGAAAAAAATACCTTCTAAATATAAGATAATCACTAAAAGGGCCCAATGAAAATAGAAGCTGGGATGCAAATTCTTCTGGTATAGAAACTCCAAACAGACAAGCCATTGTCCCTCCAACTCAAGGAACAACTCACCCTATCACATGGAGACTGCAACATTTCATCCTTGTGCTGTGACTACTTTTTTTTTCCCCCCTATTCCCAAAGAGCTAAGTGTCCCAGTTTCCACTCCAGTGCTGGACAGGGCAAGAGATGGTAGTGGCCAGAATGATAGTATTGAGAGTAGAGTGTGAGCATAACAACTTCTCTCTCCTCTCGAATGCCAAGAACCTCTATTATTTGGCTCATCACAGAGTCCACCTATAGATCTGGAGAGAAAATGCTAGCATTACAGGTTCAGAGTCTTTGTTTATATCTAAAATACAAACAAATTCCCCTTATGTCCTTTGTGCATTAACACTCACCATTAGAATGGACATTCTTCTTTTATTTAAAATCAAATATGGGTATGGGAAAGAAAATGAGCTGAGGCCTGGCCTGAGAATCTACTTGCTTTCTTTCTGTAGTGTTTCTGAGGCATGTGTGAAAAAGGCCCCATTCCTCCTACTATTACCTCCTTTTCAAACCTGCCTATTTCTTATCACACCTTCTGGTACTTCTCACTTAACCCACCATCCTAACTTCTCCATCCAGGCTGCAAGAAGCACCATGAATGCTAGAAAGCTAGAGGGATTCTTCAGTTCTACTTTTCTCTGGAAGATTTAAAGTAGGGGATTGGGTCTCTGCTGTTGTAATGTTTCCTCTTTCAGGTTGGAGATTTGAAAGTCATATGTACTAGAAGCATTGCTTTATGTGGAATTAGGTTAGAAGTTCTCTTGGTGAAGAGCCTTGCATTGTAGTAGATGCTTAGCAAATGCATATGTTGATTGGATGGATGGGTGACTGAATGAGTGAGTTGGTAGGCAAGTGGATAAATCAAAGAATGAATTACTTTAGGTCCCTGGGAGAACTGTGTTTCAATCAGCAGTCAGTATAAAGATCCCTGAGCACCAAACTTAGGTCTTCATCCATCTCACAAGAAAACCTTGAGAGTGGTGGCTAAGACTAAGAACTCAGTTATCATTTCTACCATAATTTTAAAGGAAAGTCTTTTATCTTCCTAGATAATTATAAACAGAACTGTAAGACCCGGACCATGTGTAAATTAGCTAGCATCTGAATAGTTGAGGAAGAAGAGAGCGCTGAGTAGTAATCTACGAAAATAAAGATGGGGAGGCTTTTTCAGTCATATTCCCCTTTTGATTATCCAGTTGAGCATGCATCTTGTTGCTTCTCCTACTGGTAGCACACTGGCTCATAGTACTAGTGGGAAGAGCCATGGGAAAGCCATGTTCCTAGCCTAGGCAGACTTATTTGTTCTCTGCAAGCCCATTTCCTGACCTATTAAAGCAGGAGATAGTACTTGCCAAATTGCCTGAAAGGGATGTTGGAAGAAGGAACAATGTACATAAAAGACTTTGTAAACTGGGAAGCACCAGGCCAAGGTAAGGTGTCCCTCTAATTGTTGTTGTTGTTGTTCCAGATCTTTGATGAAGAGTACAACGTCTGGTTCCTAGACTGGGGTGGTGCCCTGGTGGCCATGAAGCACACACCTCTGCCAGTCAGGCATTTATGGTAAGGACAGCTCCCTGCTCTACTAATGAGCAACTTTATGGTGGAAAGAGTTGAAACACATTATTCTGCATGGTTTTGGGCCCATTTATCCACTTCCTCATCCATTTATTCATCCATCCATCCACTTAATGTACATTGCATCATTTAACTCTTAGGTAGTAATAGTAGGCCAGGTAATTTAGGTGGGGAGAAATAATGTACATAGTGGGATGGTAGGGACGGTGCTCAGATAAGGCAAAAAAAGAGCAAGAATGACCTCTGAGTTCAAATGAATAAGGTTACGAATTGAAAATATGGGAGATGCAAATTGCTTCAAGAAGAAGGTTAGTGTATGAACTAAGTTCAGACCTAGATAGTTTGAGTTTGAGATGTCTATAAATATTCAAGCAGAGATGATCATTAGTTGTCAGACATATTCACCTGGAAATCAGGAGAGAGGCCTGAGCTGACACTGTGGATTTAGATTCGTTTAATTTTTAGGTGGTAGTTAAAGCCATGGCTGTGGGCTCGGTGCCTCAGGAGGGTGGATACCACAAGGAGCAGCCAGGGCCTCCTAAGGAACATTGGTGAACACTAACATGCAGAGCAGAAGAAGAAATTGTGGAACAGAGTAAAGAGTTGCCAAAAAAAAAAAAAGCCCAGGAGAAATATTTTTGTGCATGCTGAAAGAAGAGGTGATCAATAGCACCAGTTCTATAATCAGATAACTTAGTTATAGAGTGAAAAAAAATGTAGGACTAATCAATATGTCATTGATGATCCTTGTCAGAGTAGATTCAAAAGAGAGGTGGGCTTAAAAGGTAGATTGCAATAGATTTACAATTTACACAATTGTAAATGGATGAATTATGAATGGATGAATGAATGAATGAATCAAGAAATGATAAACAATGGGGTAACAGACTGTAGATAACTCTTCTTAAGAAAGTAGATAAATAGATTATGGAATAAAGGTGAATATAAATCTGTATATATTTAACATACATATATAGTAACACTCCAGTGAGGACAAATAGCTGAGGATATATTATTAAGATGATCATTTTAATGATGATGATGATGTTGCTATTATTGTTTGTTTTTGTTTGGGGAAAGGGTTGCATAAGTCTAATGTGGGTTGATATCCTAAAGGAAAGGAATCTCAGGTTCAGCTAAGTGAATATTTGAGAGTGAAGATTTGCTGGTAGAGAATATGCTCGTTAGAGCACAGGTGGGGTTGGATTATCCCTGGGCTAGAAGGTGGACTCTGGCTTAAACATCAGGCCCATGATTTGTGAAGGTGGACTCTGGCTTAAACACCAGGCCCATGATTTGTGGAGTAAGAGTTCTCAGAGACTTTTACTGGGAAGCATCAGATCATAATCAGGAAAAGGCATAAATCCCCATCTCTCAGTCTGGCCATTTATTAAGTTAAACCAAATGAAATTGGCTATTTTTGTAAGTCACAAATGGTGAAATATCATCAGTTCCTTAGAGTTCAACCTAGCACAAAGTAAAATGGTAACACCTACTACTATATCTTCTTAGAGAGAGATTGAGAGAATAAATTTTAAATATATACATGAGTCATTTATAAGAAAAGTGCTCTACCAACTCAAGGAGGAGCTTGTAAAAGTTCCCAGTGTAATTGTTTATCATCCTTTTACTACTGAGTATATACTTTTTGGTTAGCATCAGAGGGATGGAATTAGGTGCTATTAATGATAGTCAGCATTTACTGAGGGATTGATTATATTACATTCCCAATACTGTCCTAAAGCTTTACATGAATTATCTTCCAGAAACAACCCTGTGTATGTGAGTACTCTTTTTATCACATATTTATAGTGCCATTGCAGGGCAGGATATTAAATACCTTGCTCAAGGCTACACAGTTGGTATAAGGCAGCACCAGGTTAGATCTCTGGAATGGATGCTCTTCTGTTTTAATGACTAATCTCTCAGATACTCTAATGAGTACACAGAGGCTCACCACATGGCCCTGCCTTCTGAGAGATCATAGTCAAGTTTAGGTAGTCCACATATTACTTCCAAAAGGAGTAGTTGTCTGGGAATTGAGGGAAATCATCTAAGTTGGGAAATTGTATAATATTCTCTCAGGGATATGTAAGTAGGATCAAATCATGCCTTTCAAAGTCATCAATACTAAGTTCAAGTTCTCTTGTGTTCTATGATGTATCTTTTCTTCTGTTGATTAAAAAATAATAAAGCTCAGGAAAAATCAATGACATTCCCATTGAATCACCTCTGATAATAATGATAATAATACCCTTACTCCAACTTACATAGTATTGAAAATAATTTTTCAAGCTCAGCTTTTGAGATAGCATTTTCTCCACATAAAGAATATTGATGCTATCATTTGTCATAAATGCTACACATTTCCCTGAACTTGGACATCACACATGATTTCTGCTTACTTATCTATGAATGCCTTTCTAAAATCATGCTTCCAGTGGTTAAACGCCAGCTTTTGAGTGTGTTAGAAAACAACCACAAATAACTCATTCAGGAATTCTGCTTTGAACTTTGATTTCAAAGGCTAAGTGAATATTTTGTAAGGGCTCGACCACATCGTTATCATCAATGTTTCCTTAAGAAATTCTTGACTGATTTTGTCTCTTGCTTATGAATGGCAAGCTTGTGAAACTCAAACACTTGTTTCTTTATTGCCAGTAGTTTCTAGTTAAGTCATAACCTTCAAGATAAACACACAGCTCATTTTCAGTGGAAGAAAGGTTAAGTAATCACTTCATTGTGACCTTCTATTGTATGTCTCTGATGTTATTTTGTATACAGATGTGTATACGTTTGCATAGGAAAATGACACCAGCCTACTCACTGTCACAGAAGAGTACCACGGCTCTTGAATTTAAATAATAGCTACATTACCTTTCAGAGAAAATAGGAGTCATCATTGAAAACTGGGGGAAACTTTAGCCAGGCTAACAAGGCATGCTGTTTCCTGTAAATTGAAATGATAGGGAGTTAGATATCCATGAAGACAAAAAAAAAAAAAAAAAGCATACAAATTAACTCATCTATTTGTGACCACGCACATTTGGATGCATAGAGATTAGCACGTACATGCTATTTCAGTTCAGCCTTCCAGAGAGTATGACCTTTGCACCTTAGAAGCATTAGAGGGAAGGGAACAATGGAGCCCCACAGAATCAGTGTTTTAATGAAAACTTAGGCAGGTAGACTGGGATCCTACTGTTTGCTTAGCTCTAACAAAGGGTCAGTGTCTCCTTTCAGTGGAATGTTCTTGGAAACTGAAAGCAAAACGTCAACTGGCCTTTTTTGTTCAACAAAACATTCACACAAAAACAATAGTTTGGATGGAAATGTATCTCTGAGAAGTGAAAGGCATGTGCTATTCTGAACACCTTCCAGGTGGCTACAATGCTACCACCTCATGCTTTGTGATAAAATAGAACAGCACACCTCACTGAAGGGAGAAACATTGATTCTCAATGACCATTATAACTGTTTCTGTGCTAGAGACTTCCGGGGAGGGCTCTGGATGTTCCTGGAAGAATATGTTTCATTTTAGTTGATCTTATCTCAGTATCATAAAGTTATAGATGCATGAAGCAAGGAGGGGGGTCTTAGAAGATACCTCTGTGATACTTAAGAAGGTTGCTCTACTTTAGCAGAATAGCACAGTGCTGACCAACTGGCAAATAGCCAAGACAGAGAGCTCTCACCTTGTACAATGCCTGTAGCTTGTTTGAAAGACTGTTTTTGTATTGAGCAATAATGAAACTACTTGCAATTTTTGTCCATCAGCTCCTGTTCTGCTGGACAGACTTATGCAGAATGTTTGCTCTAGAATTGCATGTAATTTTTAGAGTTTTGGAAAGGGCCACAGTTGGAAAAGACCTCAAGATATTTCTCTGTCTAGCCTTTATAAGTTCTGGAAAATGAACAGATATGCAACTCAAGACATATTCTGTGCATTTTTCCTTTATTCCTCACATATTGTTTGAGCATGTACTATTTATACAGCACTAGCATCGGGGCTGCAATATACCAATGAACAAAAGAAGTATTTGGGAGTTTATATTCGTATAAATAGATATATGACTCTGCTCTTTAGAAGAATGATAACAATGGTAATGTTGAGTTCCTTATTCTAGCTATATTTTAACTGATATTTTCATGCATTTAACTATATTTCCTCAGAATTTGTTCAAAGACATTGCCCCTTTTCAGTAGTCAATAAATATGGTTGCCCTTGGTTGCTTGTTTATTTGAAAGCTTTCTCAATAAAAATATTATAAAGCAATGATAATTAATTCAGTTCTATTCTCTTTCCTGAGCTGTCTTCAATTTATATCACCTGTTTCTAGAACAACCTTTTTTTTTTTACCTTTAATCACACTGATTGCCAGTTTTCTACAATGATCAAAACTAAACATAGTATTTACAACCTGGTAGTTGGATAATTTCTTTTATTATACATGTTATCTATGTGTGAACACATGTTAGACTCAGTGGCTTGATTGCCTCTCAAAATAGTGATGTTTCTTGGAAATGTCTACCTTGAAACTGGCTATGACCCTGTTTTTGGGTTTTTTTTTTTGTTTTTGTTTTGCTTGAGCTTGTTATTAGTTACTATTTTCCTTTTTCCAAATGTGATCCTTAAAAAAATTAGGTATTATACTTGAATTTGATTTTACCTTATAAGTGACTTCCAAATCTACATTCCTAGCTTTGGTCACTCCCCAGAAATCCAGATCCATCCACCCAAATGTCTCCTTGACAGTTACAATATGGAAGTCGAAACAGCATCTAAACCTTGATGTGGACTAAACAGAATCAAATAAACAAACTTTGCTTCTGCTTTTCTTTCCATGTCCCTATTTCAGTTACTTACCTCCCCAAATCCATGTTGTCCGTGATACCTTTGTTTTGCTCAAGCCATCGATACATATTCTATCACCAAACCCTGTTTACTTCACATCTAACAATATGCTAAGTGTTTCTATAACTTT